AAGATGGCAGGAGGGAGGGGTTACTATATTTGGGCAACAATGGCAGCTCCTGGATTTTGTGATTGCAACGAAAATTATTGTTTTTATTCTTTTACTGATTAACGCTAAATTTATCAAATTGGCACAAACTTATTAGTTTTAGGTATAAATAATGATCCATTGATTATTCCAGACTTTACCTTAAAAAATGCTATTACACAAAAAGTTATGAAAATATATCTATTTCTATTACTGCATACTAGTGCTGCATCATTATCCCTTACCAGTATGCTTATAACTGGGTAATACATATTCTTGTTTCTTATATTTAACTCTACCATTGCAAACATTTTCTGTTTCTTCTCTAAGGAGCTATTCTGATCTCACTCTGTCCCTGCTGGGTTACTTCTCTCTCCTCATCATCTGGATCCACCTGCATAATCCCTCTTCCCTTCCTGCTGCTCCAGTTGCAAAACAAACACATTATTTGGACATGTTTGTTTGCATCCACTTGTAGCCTTTGGAGCCTTTATTTCTTTCCGCTTCTCTGCACTAAAGATCTGATCTCATCTGTCAGCAGTGAGGGGAGAGACGGGCCGACGATGGCTAAGCGTTTAAAAAGAAATATTGGTCCCAATATTGACCCCATTTGATTGGATACAAATTATTTTTTAATGCTTTCATTAGCATTTTGAAAATTGACATATGAGTTATTAAATATATATAATTTTTTTATGATAAATACATTTACATGATACTATGACAGCCTTGGGACTGCCCTAAAAAGGAGTGTCAGCCCACATAGCACTCACAATGGCCAGTCCAGCCCAACGAGAATGTGATCTGTAAAACACACTTTGAAAAGTATGCAATTCATAAAACTCAATCTGAAAATATATAATTTAAAAAGTAAATTATATATATAAAAAAAAAAAAATGAAATATTAAAAGTATAGTGGAGGATTTTTGCAAATTTTTGAAACTCTCCGCTTAAAAAAAAAGCATATGCACAACCCTGTACCTGCTCCAGAGAGTGAACGCCTATTAAACACGTGCAAGAGCGTGCATTAGCCCATGTTTCCTCGTGCACGCTCTGTTTAAAAGTTGCTGTTCTCATAGCTCATACAAGCTTACTGTGTCTGAATGTCCGCCCTGACCCCTAAATCCCTCAATCACTATATAGAGCGGGGACTATATAGCGAAGGAATGTTTCACCAATAAGGACTCCTTATTCTGCATAAATTTAAAGGTATAGTGGAGGATTTTCGGGAATCTTTTAAAACCTGCCTCCCACTATAAAAAAATGTAGACGCACAACCCTGTACCTGCTCCTGAGGGAACGCCTATTAAATGAGTGCGAGAGCGTGCAGGAACCCATCTCAGGTTAAAAGTTGCTGTTCTCATAGCTCATACAAGCTTACTGTGTCTGAATGTCCGCCCTAACCCCTAAATCCCTCAATCACTATATAGAGTGGGCTCTATATATGTAATGGACTATAGCAAACTCAGTTAACTGACCATTCAGACAGATGCTCACTGCTTTTTGCTCCTTGTTGTTCACATAACTCCTTCTCCACCGCGTGGGGCCTGCACCATCTTTGTTATTAGTCGCCGCTGTCGATAGAGACAGACTGTGGCGACATACTAAAGCGACAGCGGGCCGCTGTAAGAGCAAATCCCATAATGCTTTGTGAGGAGAGCTCTCCGTTCAAAGCATTCTAGTTTATTTCTTCCTCTTCTGAGACATTTCTTTTCTTCTCATATACCTCGTAGTCACTTTTTCTCTTACGACCCTCGGCCATTTTCAAAGAACCGCGGTGAGAAAGGTGAGCTTCAATGACCGTCTGAAACCGTAGCTCACCTAAGATATGCAACTGAAAGCGCGCATCGGCAGAAAAATATAGCTAACGAGACAAGATGGCCTTATGTAAACATTTCACCGGAATGATTGACAGTTAGGCGGACCACTTATTTAGACGATCCACCTGGAAATAAAAGATTGTCCTCTATACCTTTAAAAAAAGATGAAAACAAACTATTTGAAGAAATTATTGGAGAAAACAGCAAAGTTTCTCTCAAAAACCTTTTAGGAAACTGAATTCTTCTCTTGCAACTATAATGGAATAAAATCCCCCCCATTGCCATGCCAGTTACCATAGCAACTGGACAGCATGGTTCTCATTGTCAAGGCTATGTACTTCAGCATACCAACACACACTCATGCATTACTCTACAAATATCCCCACTAACATGGCCTACGGTGCTCATGTTGTACAAAAGAACCGGTGTGTGTGTGTGTGTGTGGGTGTGTGTGTGTGTGTGTGTGTGTGTGTGTGTGTGTGTTATCGGTGCACACACACAAAGAAAAGCCTGGATTCTGCACCAACAGGTGGCCAAACAGTAGCTGACTGCAAATGCAGTTAACACCTTCTCCTTCTTATCAGTTACGCTGGCATCCAATCAGCAGGTACTTACTGCCAAAGCTCAATCAACAAATGAACAGTAAACACATCTGACAACATGGCAAGATTCCTCCTCTTCCTCCTCTTCCTCTTTCCACACTCCATGTCAATCCAGTTGGAATCAGTGACATTTCTTAGTTACTTTGACTGCTTTGCCAAATGTAAGAAAAGTACTTCAGTCTCACAGTAGAAGAGATATTTGTGGCAGAAGGGGAATCAGGATCCGCATCCTTACCTCATCCCATTTAATGAAGTTGCTTCCGTTCCTCAGGGTGTGTGAGACACAGGGAGGCTGGAGTTTCAGCGCATGGACCCCTGGCTGAGCACTTGCCATGGCTTCACACACACATTAAACTCTCCCCCCGCACACTCAGAGAGATGCTGGAGATGCTCAAACACCAGGAGGATGCGTCTCAACCATGTTCAGCCAAAACTCTTCAGAAGTCAGAAGCTCTGCTGCAGCAGCATCTTCTCCTCCTTTTCCTTTATCATTTCACTCCTCTTTTTGCACTCCCCTCTCTCTTTGCTCTGCCTCTCCTTTCCTCACACCTCCCTCTCCTCTTCCTCCCTCCCTCCTTGGGCTCGTCTCCCCCTCTCTCCTCTGTTGGTGCTGCATCTCGCAGAGAGACAGACTGAAACAGATGCCTTCGTGGGAGACAGGATGCGCGCGTGTGCGTGAGGCGAGCACGTGCACGTCCTGCCTCCGCAAATTGACTCATCTCTGACATGCGCACAATGGCAGCTTCCCACAGATGGGGGAGGGATAAGCGAATGCGGGAGCTGGAGTGACAAGAAGATAGGAGGAAAGGAGGTAGATAGCAAAGTGGAAAGGAAAAAAAGGAGATAAAAGACAGAAGGAAGCAAAGACAATGTTTGGAGTTACATGAGGCCGCGTTTGAAGACACCATCAAGTATGCAGAGATGCACCGTTCCATCCATATGTTTGTCACAGGCATTAATCTGCTTCCCTTCCTCTGGGAAGGCTGTCCATGATATTCCAAAGCCTATTGAGGGATTTATTCCTGGTCAACCTTAATGAGCTTTGTCATGGAGCTTAGAAGAAAAAAAGCCCCTGGATGCTTCAGTTTATTTCTATAGCTCTAATTCACATTATGTCATCTCAAGGCACTTTACAATTCAACCAGATCATCCAGTCAA